AGATCACCTGAGGTCAGGAGTTCGAGACCAGCCTGGCCAACGTGGTGAAACCCTGTCTCCACTAAAAATACCAAACTCAGCTGGGCATGGTGGCACACGCCTGTAATCCCAGCTACTCCGGAGGCAAGAGAATCATTTGAACCCAGGAGGGGAAGTTTGCAGTGAGCTGAGATCACGCCATTGCACTCCAGCCTGGGCAGCGGCAAGACTCTATCTAAAATAAACAAATAAAACAAATAAATTAAATAGGTAAATAAAACAGGACAGCACAGCATCAGACACCGTGCCAGCACATTAGAAGGTGCACCATGAACACCAGCTTCCTTCCTCTTTCCAGATTTATTTTCAACTGGAAAGTCAATGAATAGCAAATGATGGAATCACGGCCCCCCAGAGCACTGAGCTGAGGAGTAGATCCTTGCTGCCTGCTGAGCCATAGGCACTGATAAACACCCAGAATGTCGATGGGGACAGTTACCGTGGAGGGGCCGTTGACTGTATCCCCAAGACAGGAGGAGCCAGATGCCCCGTGCCTCCAAAAGGAATGTGTGAGGGTGCTCCCAGCCCGCCTCTGAGACTTTCTGCCAAAAAAGCTGAGTGTGAATCCTACGCACTCGCTTTACAGCTGACTTCCAATTTCAAGGAGGAAGGGGATGGAGAGTGCCAGTAAACGACACTAAAGGCAGCCCAGATTGGGAGGGAGGGTCCCTCTGCGGGACAGCTAAACCAGCTCGTGCCACAAGCCAATGGCAAGAAGGGAGGAGGGGGCGCTCTAGGTTAAAAGATAATTGAGAAGCACAACACCCAAATATGGGTGGCCTTTGTTTGGATTCTATTTGAACAAAAGACATGAAAAGAGACTTTATTTTTCAAGCAATGGGGAAGTGTGACTATGGCCAGGGTATTAGATGACATCAAAGACTTCCTGGCCACCAAGTGTCACAATATCATTACAATCGTGCAGGAAAACGTCCGACTGAAGTACGCGGGGATAACGTGGGATTTGCTTTTTAGGAAGAGCTGTGATGGCAGACCAAAAACGTATGATATCTGTTTGCCAGAGGCCTTCCTATTTGTCTATAGTGTAAGAACATTTTGACAAGCAGTTTTTATTTATAGAAACAAAAATAAAGGTATTTGCAATCCCAAATACTCAGGAGGCTAAGGCAGGAGGTTTACCTGAGTCCAGGAGGTCAAGACTGCAGGGCGTTATGACTGTGCAACTGCATTCCAGTCTGGGTGACAGAGTGAGACCGTGTCACACACACACAAAAAGCTATTTGCAAAATTTTTGAAAAGTTAATGATAAGAATCAATGAGGCCAGGTGCAGTGGCTTATGTCTGTAATCTCAGGACTTTGAAAAACTGAGGAGTGGTGACCACTTGAGGTCAGGAGTTCGAGTCCACCCTGACAGCATTGTGAAACCCCATCTCTACTGAAAATATAAAAATTCGCCGGCATGGTGGCCGCACGCCTGTGATCCCAGCTACTTGGGAGGCTGAGGCAGGAGGATTGTTTGAACCCAGGAGGTGGAGGTTGCTGTGAGCTGAGATCATGTCACTGTACTCCAGCCTGGGTGACGGAGTGAGATTCTGTCTTAGAAAAAAGAAAAGAAAAAGAATCAATGGCACTAATGCTATAGTAAAACCAGTCTATTCATTTATTCATGGCAAAAGCATACAAGCCTGTGGGAAAATAATCTGGCAATAAGCAGCGAGAACCATACGCATATTCGTGTTCTCTAGCTCGAGACTCTGACTGCTGGGATCTGCCCTAATGAAATAACCCGAAAGAAGGGAAAACCACTCACAGCAAGGGTGTGGCTCTGGAGTTATGTGCTTTGGCGTGATGGCACTGGAAAGCAAAATTCTGAGGGCTGTGTCGCAACTTGGAAGCCCGCGCAAGCAGCTGGAAAGGTGCTGCGATTACAGCTGTGTGAAGGCATGTGCGCTGGGGCCTGGCCAGCTGGGAGCCCGGAGAGGTGAGTGTGGTGGCTGGATCCGGGAGAGGCAGGTCCGCTAGGAAGCAGTGGGCGGGGGCAGGGTCTGTTTGTAAGCTGGCACCGTGCTGCCATGGCCACGCATACAACTTCAGTGCAAATGGATTGTGACCTGGAGTGACCCCCGAACACCTGGTGGAAACCCAGCCAGGCTTACACTGGGCAAAGCCGGATTGTCAGGGGCCCTGGGAGACCCTGTCTTCCCCCCATTCCTCTCTGCCAGTCTTGGGGCCCTGGGCTTGCACACAGACCGGCTTTCTGCATAGGATAGGCTTATCAGACCCTTTCCTGAAATCGCGGGCGGGAAAGAGGTGAGGTCATGAAGGCAGCGTGGGAGGGAAGAAGGAAAGGGATGCGGCGGGAGAGGGAACATAGCAAAGGAGGCTTACTGGTCCAGGTCCTCTGCATACATCATCTAGCTGCCTCAAAATGTTTGCGGAATGCAGCGCAGTATAAAATCTTTCTTCTCTTTTCCTTCGCTATAGTCTTCTGTAGGTATTACTGTCCTCATTTTACAGACGACAAAGCTGAGGCTCCAAGGGAGTGGTAACTTTACAAAGGTTTACTAAGGTTTTAGGTGTAAAACTGAGATACTAACCCAGATCTGTGTCTCTGGGGCCAGGCTCCCTGGGGAAATCAGCCCAGGTCATCTCTCTCTCTCTCTCTCTCTCTTTCTCTCTCTCTCTCTCCCCAGTATCACCTGTGGCTTCTTAGATAGGAAACTGAGGCTGAACACTTACAGGCTTGCGCAAGTCACTGCACCGCCCACTGCCAGCCTCCTCAATTATCGACCCAGGATCTGATATCAAGCCCCACCCTCAGGGTGCTGGGCCCTCATGTCCCATTTAAGTGTGGCCCTAAAGGCTGACAGAGTTTTCTTTTCCCAACAGGTACATGGTCCATCCCTCCAGGCCCCTTAGAGAGGGGACTCAGAGAACAGATTGAGGGAGATGGGATGTGCCAGGGTTCCCCGCTAGGAGCCTCGTCTTTCCACCCCTTCTCTGTTTCCTGTGAGAACACAGTGCTCCTCCCCTCCAGAAGATGAAGGAACAGGGCACCATCCTGGAAGCAAAGAGAGCAGCCCTCGCCAGACCCCACGTCTGCTGGAGCCTTCATCTTGGACTTCCCAACCTCCAGAGTTGTGAGAAAATAAAGTTCTGTAGTTTTCAAATTACCCAGTCCACAGAGTTGTGTTCCAGCAGCATAAGGGACTAAGACACTGTCAACACTTGTTAATTTCTGTTGCCATGCCATCGTGGTGGCTGTAAACTGGTATCACACTGTGGTTTTGATTTGCGTTTCCCTGATGATTAGTGATGCTGGGCATCTTTTCCTGTGCTTGTCGGCTCTTTGTGTGTCTTCTTTGAATAAATGTCTATTCAAATTCTGTCCATTTTTAAGTTGGGTTGTATGTCTGTATTGTGGTTAGGTTGTAACCATGCTTTATACGACCAAATGTGGTGGCTCACACCTGTAATCCCAGCACTTTGGGAGGCCCAGGCAGGTGGATCACCTGAGGTCGAGAGTTCGAGACCAGCCTGACCCACATGGAAAACCCCATCTCTACTAAAAATACAAAAAAAATTGGCCGGGCATCTTGGCACATGCCTGTAATCCCAGTTACTGAGGCAGGAGAAGCCCTTGAACCCGAAAGGCAGAGGTTGTGGTGAGCCGAGATTGCACCATTGCACTCCAGCCTGGGCAACAACAGTGAAATTCCATCTCAAAATACTAATACTACTAATAATAGTAATAATAGTGCTTTATATATTCTGGATAGATTTTTTATCAGATATGTGATTTGCAATTTCTTTCTCCCATTCTGAGGGTTGTCTTTTCACATTTTTTCTCTCTCTGTCTCTCTCTCACTCTCACTCTCTCTCTTTTTAAGAAATAGGGTCTTGCTGGGCGTGGTGGCTCACGCCTGTAATCCCAGAACTTTGGGAGACTGAGGCGGGTGGATCACAAGGTCAGGAGATTGAGACCATCCTGGCTAACACAGTGAAACCTCATCTCTACTAAAAATACAAAAATTAGCTGGGCGTGGTGGTGGGCGCCTGTAGTCCCAGCTAACCGGGAGGCTGAGGCAGGAGAATGGTGTGAACCCGGGAGGCGGAGCTTGCAGTGAATGCAGATCACGCCACTGCACTCCAGCCTGGGCGACAGAGCAAAACTCCATCCCCCCTGCAAAAAAAGAAACAGGGTCTCATTCTGTCTCCCAGGCTAAAGTGCAATGACATAATCATAGCTCACTACAGCCTCAAACCCCTGGGCTCAAGTGATCCTCCCACTTCAGCCTCCCAAGTAGCTGGGACTATTGGTGTGCACCACCACACCTGGTTAATTTATTATTATTATTATTATTATTATTATTATTATTATTTTGAGAAGGAGTCTTGCTCTGTTGACCAGGCTGGAGTGCAGTGGCGTGATCTCAGCTCACTGCAACCTCCATCTCCTGGGTTCAAGTGATTCTCATGCCTCGGCTTCCCGAGTAACTGGGATTACAGGCACGCATCACTATGCCCGGCTAATTTTTGTATTTTTAGTAGAGATAGAGTTTCACCACGTTGGCCAGGCTGGTCTCAAACTCCTGACTTCAAGTGATCCACCCGCCTCGGCCTCCCAAAAGTGTTGGGATTACAGGTGTGAGCCACCGCGCCTGGCCGACAGTGTTCTTTGATGCACAAAAGTTTTTAGTCTTGATAAAGTATAAATTTATCTATTGTTATTGTCACATGTGACTTTGGTGACATCTGAGCACCCATTGCCAAATCCAAGGCATTAGGATTTGCCCCAGTGTTTTCTCTAAGAGTTTTATACCTTTAACTGTTATACTTAGGTCTTTGGTCCCTTTTGTTTATAGTGTGAGGAAAGACCTCAGCTTTATTTTTTTGCATTTGGATATCTGGCTAGCCAAGCATCATGTATTGAATAGATTGTTCTCTGCGAAATGGCTTTGAAATATTATTGGTTGAAGAATTGTTTTTCTGAGTTCCCTTGCTTCAGTAGCAAATATACTAAAACTGGAATGATACAGAGAAGATTAGGATGGCCCCTGGGCAAGGATGACATGCAAACTTGTGAAGTGTTCATTTTATTAGAAATAAAAATTAAATTACAAATTTTTTAAGGAATTGTTTTTCGGATATACAATTCTTGATTGGCAGTTTTTTTTTCTTTCAACATTTTAAATATGCCAACCTTCTGGCCTCTACGGTTTCTGATGAGAAATCGGCTGTTAATCTCATTGAGGATCCCTTATATGTGACAAGTTTACTTCTCTTGTGATGCTTTCAAGATTCTCTCTTTTGCTGGATAGGAGTGAAGCAAGACGGCAAAATAGGACTTTACAGTGATTGTCCCGCCACAGAAACATCAATTTGAACAACTATTCATGCTTGAAAATGTCTTCACACGAGCTCAGGAAACCAGGTGAGAGATCGCAGTACTTGGCTGTAGCATAATGAGAAATTACACATTGGCGAGGGTAGGAGAGGCGGTTTTAAATTACCCACATCATCCTTCCCCAGCCCCAGGCAGCACAGAATTGAGAGAGATGCCATCCTCTGGGGAGGAAGAGAGGGACGTGAGCAAAGGACTTTTCCTTAGACCCCAATACCAGGCCCAGCACCAGGCAAACCCCCACATCCCATATTCCAGGCCCGTAATCATGGACTGAGACTCTAAACCTGCCCTCAGATCACACCATATACAAAAATTAACTCAAAATGAATTAATGACTTAAATGTAAGTACCAAATTATGAAACTACTAAAAGAAAACGTAGGGGAAAAGCTCCATGGCACTGGCCTGGGTAAGGAGTTTTTGAGAAAACCCCCAAAGCATAGGCAACAGAAGCAAAAATAGATAAATGGGATTACATCAAGCTATAAAGTTTCTTTTTTCTTTTCCTTTTTTTGAGACAGGGTCTCACTCTATTGCCCAGGCTGGAGTGCAGTGATGTGATCACAGCTCACTGCCACCTTGACCTCTAGGCTCAGGTGATTTTTTAAAATTTACTTTTATTTTTGTATGTATCTAAAATACTTCAAAAGCATATAAAATGTATATTCAGACATAGTGTTACGTTTCTTCCCTCAGCCTTACTATGACCATACCATGTAGTTACCCATATCGTATGGTAAATTCTATATTTTTTGTTCTTCCTGGGTGTCTTTTCTTTTTATTAGACTCAAGTTCTGGGATACGTGTGCAGAACGTGCAGGTTTGTTACATAGGTATACACGTGCCATAGTGGTTTGCTGCACCCATCAACCCATCATCTACATTAGGTATTTCTTCTAATGTATCCCTTCCCTTGCCCCTCATCCCCAACAGGTCCCAGTGTGTGATGTTCCCCTCCCTGTGCCCATATGTTCTCATTGTTCAACTCCCACTTATGAGTGAGGACATGCCGTGTTGGGTTTTCTGTGTTAGTTTGCTGAGAATGATGGTTTCCAGCTTCATCCATGTCCCTGCAAAGGACACGGACTCATTCTTTTTTATGGCTGCATAGTATTCCATGGTGTATATGTGCCACATTTCTTTTATCCAGTCTATCCTTGATGGGCATTTGGGTTGGTTCCAAGTCTTTGCTATTGTGAATAGTGCTGCAGTAAACATATGTGTACATGTGTCTTTATAGCAGAATGATTTATAATCCTTTGGGTATACACCCAGTAATGGGATTGCTGGCCAAATGGTATTTCTAGTTCTAGGTCCTTGAGGAATCGCCACACTGTTTTCCACAATGGTTGAACTAACTTACATTCCCACCAACAGTGTAAAAGCGTTCTTATTTCTCCACATCCTCTCCAGCATCTCTTGTTTCCTGACTTTTTAATGATAGCCATTCTAATTGGTGTGAGACGGTATCTCATTGTGGTTTTGATTTGCATGTCTCTAATGACCGGTGATAACGAACTTTTTTTCAAATGTTTGTTGGTCGCATAAATGTCTTCTTTTGAAAAGTGTCTGTTCATATCCTTTGCCCACTTTTTGATGTTTTTTTTTTTTTTCCTGTAAATTTGTTTAAGTTCTTTGTAGATTCTGGATATTAGCCCTTTGTCAGATGGATCGATTGCAAAAGTTTTCTCCCATTCTGTAGGTTTGTCTGTTTACTCTGATCATAGCTTCTTTTGCTATGCAGAAGCTCTTTAATTTAATTAGATCCCATTTGTCAATTTTGGCTTTTGCTGCCATTGCTTTTGGTATTTTAGTCATGAAGTCTTTGCCCATGCCTATGTCCTAAATGGCATTGCCTAGGTTTTCTTCTAGGGTTTTTACGGTTTTAGTTCTTATGTTTAGATCTTTAATCCAGCTTGAGTTAATTTTTGTATAAGGTGTAAGGAAGGTGTCCAGTTTCAGTTTTCTGCATATGACTAGCCAGCTTTCCCAATACCATTTATTAAATAGGGAATCCTTTCCCCATTGCTTGTTTTTGTCAGGTTTGTCAAAGATCAGATGGTTGTAGATGTGTGGTGTTATTTGGGAAGGCTCTGTTCTGTTCCATTGTTCTATATATCTGTTTTGGTACCAGAACCAAGCTGTTTTGGTTACTGTAGACTTGTAGTATAGTTTAAAGTCAAGATAGTGTGATGCCTCCAGCTTTGTTCTTCTTGCTTAGGATTGTCTTGGCTAAATGGGCTCTTTTTTGGTTCCATACGAAATTTAAAGTAGTTTTTTTCTAATTCTGTGAAGAAGGTCAATGGTAGCTTGATGGGAATAGCATTGAATCTATAAATTACTTTGGGCAGTGTGGCCATTTTCACGATACTGATTCTTCCTATCCATGAGCATGGAATGTTTTTCCATTTGTTTGTGTCCTCTCTTATTTCCTTAAGCAGTGGTTTGTAGTTCTCCTTGAAGAGGTCCTTTGTATCCCTTGTAAGTTGTATCCCTAGATATTTTATTCTCTTCATAGCAATTGTGAATGGGCGTTCACTCATTATTTGGCTCTCTGTTTGTCTATTATTGGTGTTTAGGAATGCTTGTGATTTTTGCACATTGATTTTGTATCCTGAGACTTTGCTGAAGTTGCTTATTAGCTTAAGGAGTTTTTGGGCTGAGACAGTGGGGTTTTCTAAATGTACAATCATGTCATCTGCAAACAGAGATAATTTGGCTTCCTCTCTTCCTATCTGAATACCCTTTATTTCTTGCTCTTGCCTCATTGCCCTGGCCAGAACTTCCAATACTATGCTGAATAGGAGTGGTGAGAGAGGGCATCCTTGTCTTGTGCTGGTTTTCAAAGGGAGTGCTTCCAGTGTTGGCCCATTCAGCATGATATTGGCTGTGGGTTTGTCATAAATAGCTTTCATTATTTTGAGATACATTCCATCAATACCTAGGTTATTGAGTGTTTTTAGCATGAAAGGCTGCTGAATTTTATTGAGGGCCTTTTCTGCATCTATTGAGATAATCATGTGGTTTTTGTCATTGGTTCTGTTTATGTGATGGATTACATTTATTGATTTGCATATGTTGAACCAGCCATCCCAGGGATGAAGCTGACTTGATTGTGGTTGATAAGCTTTTTGATGTGCTGCTAGATTTGGTTTACCAGTATTTATTGAGGATTTTTGCATCAATTTTCATCAGGGATATTGGCCTAAAATTTTTTTGTGTGTGCCTCTGCCAGGTTTTGGTAGCAGGATAATGCTGGCCTCATAAAATGAGTTAGGGAGGATTCCCTCTTTTTCTATTGCTTGGAATAATTTTAGAAGGAATGGTACCAGTTCCTCTTTGTACCTCTGGTAGAATTCGGCTGTGAATCCATCTGGTCCTGGGCTTTTTTTCGTTGGTAGGCTCTTAATTACTGCCTCAATTTCAGAACTTGTTATTGTTCTTTTCAGGGATTGGACTTCTTCCTGGTTTAGTCTTGGGAGGGTGTATGTATCTGGGAATTTATCCATTTCTTCTATCTTTTTTTTTTTTTTTTTTGAGACGGAGTCTGGCTCTGTCGCCCAGGCTGGAGTGCACTGGCTCCATCTCGGCTCACTGCAAGCTCCACCTCCTGGGTTCACGCCATTCTCCTGCCTCAGCCTCCCGTGTGGCTGGGATTACAGGCGCCCGCCAACATGCCCAGCTAATTTTTTGTATTTTTAGTAGAGACAGGGTTTCACTGTGTTAGCCAGGGTGGTCTTGATCTCCTGACCTCGTGATCTGCCCTTCTCAGTCTCCCAAAGTGCTGGGATTACAGGCGTGAGCCACCGCGCCTGGCCTTCTTCTAGATTTTCAAGTTTATTTGTGTAGAGGTGTTTATAGTATTATCTGATGGTAGTTTGTATTTCTATGGGGTCAGTGCTGATATCCCCTTTATCATTTTTTATTGTGTCTGTTTGATTCTTCTCTTTTCTTCTTTCTTAGTCGGCTCAGGTGATTTTTCCACCACAGCCTCCCAAGTAACTGGGAGGACAGGTGCATGCCACTATGCCCAGCTGAGTTTTGTTTTTTGAATTTCTTTTTGGTACAGACAGAGTTTTGCCATGTTACCCAGGCTGGTCTTGAGCTCCTGGGCTCAAGCAGGCTGCTCACCTCAGCCTCCCGAAGTGCTGGGATTACAGGTGTGAGCCACTGCGCCCAGCTCTAAAACGCTTCTGCACAGCGAGGGAAAAAATCAGCAGAGTGAAGAGACAATCTCCAGAATGAGAGAGAACACTTGCAAACTACTCATCTGCCACAAAGTCGGCATCTAAAATATACAAGGAACTCAAACAGCTCAACAGCAAGACAATAACCCAGTTTTTTAAATGGGCAGAGGACCTGAATAGATATTTCCTAAAAGAAGTAATTTATATATATTCTGGATAGTAGGTTTTTATGAGATATGTGATTTGCAATTTCTTTCTCCCATTTTGTGGATTGTCTTTTCACTTTCTGTCTTTTTTTTTTTTTTTTTTTTTTTTTGATGGAGTCTCGCTCTGTCACCCAGGCTGGAGTGCAGTGGCGCGATCTGGGCTCACTGCAACCTCTGCCTCCCAGGTTCAAACGATTCTCCTCCCTTAGCCTCCCAAGTAGCTGGGATTACAGGCACACACCACCATGCCCGGCTAATTTTTGTATTTTTAGTAGAGATGGGGTTTCAACGTGTTGGCCAGGC